TTTCTGTGCCAAATATTACATTTGGAACTTGAGCCTAAACATCTCTTGATAAAAAAAAATATTAACATTTTCCTTAATTTATTTATTTTTTATTGATTTTCTTTCTAGGGCTTTTTGTGATGTACTTTCTTTTATCACTCTCTCCCCTCCCATCACGTTGTCTGATTGATCAGCTGAAGATATAAAGTATTGCCTTGGCAAACTCATATGTTTCCTCTGAAATCAAAGGGAGGTTTAATGTGTACAATTATGCTCTTCTCATAAGTGATTTCTGTGTGGGTGATGTGCACCTGCAGCTCTGATGTGGCTTGTGTTTTGGTGTAACTGCACATTTTTTGCAGGAGTTGCTTTTAAAACAAATGCAATACTTTTATTCAATATTACTTTTGTCCTTTAGCTGTGTCATCTTTTCTCTGAGGGGAGAGGGAGCTGGACAGGGACTGGGCCAGTATAATAAATGCTCCTTTGTCACAGCAAATTTTCTCTGATGGTTGTGATGCTCTAAAGAGTATCATGTTTTCTAAGCCTGCTGAATTTACCAGGCAACTTGAGGGTGCTTCATGCACAGAAACTCCACAGCACACTCTGGTAATTGCATATTGTTCAATGACTGTGCAGAAGGCACGATGTTAATGAAAAGCACCGGGAGATAATTTAGACTGGATGGTACCTGTCATGCTGGGATTTATGCTGGGGCAGTGCAGAACCTCACTGCACGGAAATATCTGGAAGATTGCTTTTCCTGGTTGTGGTGGGTAATCAAGAAGGAAGAAATTACACTAGGTTCATGTTCTTCCTCATCTTCTGAATCTCTTGTGACCGGAATTGTGGTTAGGCTTGGGAGAGGAGGCACAACTTTTCAATCCTCATACTCACAAACCTGTTCAAGACCTAGGCAGGGCTGTCTCTGAAGAACCCCAAAATCCCTTGGTAAGTGTGTCAGTGGAGCAGCTGTCCTGCCAAACTTGCCATGATTCTTCTGTGCTTTAATCCACAACTTGATTTGGGGGATTTTATGCTCACAAGAAGGAGAAAGGGAACCTAAAGTTAAAGCAATGGGAATGGGATGTCATGGCTCCCTATGGAGGTGGAGAACACAGATTCAGGATGCTGCTGCAACACTAATAGTGTTCCTAAACTTTTAACTCCTACCAGCTCATTTGATGTTACTGGAAAGGAAGGAAACTACAAGCAGAGGAATCACCTTGGAAAACAAGTGAGGTGTTTATTGATATAACATCAACTATATACTATTAAGAACTTACTATCAACAAGAAGTGTAAAATTTGGTTCTGTGAACTTTTTGCTCGCTTTCCTGCAAATTCTTTGAGCAGCAGGAGGCAAATGGGGTCCTCTTTAGCCCAGGGGTCTTTCTGAGATTTAGTAATTTCATGTTTGTTCCATCAATATCTGCCTTACATTGGAAATTATGAGTCCCAGCATAAGCCAGCCAGGAAGATGATAAACAAGACTGCATACACCATGATCTACAATTCCTCACATCATCTAGGGCTTTTTTACAGTCTGAGACCTCTTAACTTATTCTACTTGCCTTCCAAACTTTTTTAGATAAACAGATGTTTCTACCTCAGATGAACTTCAGTCTAAAGAAAAAAAAAAAAAGGAAGCAAGCTGCAAAACTTGCTCTTAAATAATCATATTCAATCATTAACATGAGAAATGGCTTTATGTGTTCCTGGACATGTCACAGAAATTACTGAGATAAATATATTCCATGACAAATTTTGTGTAATTTTATGCAGTCTTGTGAATGTATTTGTTTTCTTCTTGATGCACTCTGTCTCATTACAGGTCAGGAGGGGGAATGAGCTAACATATCCAGACTTTCAGGGCTTTCAAAGAGAAATGTCTCATGTTTCTCTTCTTAAGTGCCAGCTGATATAAATTAGATGAGACTTTTCTCTTGAATGTGGAAGTATTAAAGAAAAGTAGTAGCTCATGAGTGGAGGGAAGAAGAAAGAACACAGGTTAGGAGAGACAGATGTGTTTAATGACAAACACATTTGTCCATAGGAATAATTTCTACTGGCCAGAAGCCCAATTAAACACATAAAATAGAAATCCAGAAAAACAGTTTAATGATCCAGTCATTAGCAATGGAGGAAGAAAAAGAGAAACCCAGCTAATTCTGTACTGAGCATGACAGATGAGCTCACAGCAAATAATTGGGTGGCATTCATCAAATGTGAACTGAAAGGAGGCATTGGAGGGCAAAACACTGCCATAATCTCTGGGATTTACAATGTTGGAGCATTTGCTCATAGGAAAAGGAAAAGTTCATCAAAATAAATTAAGTAGGGCCTTCCAAAATTCATTCTGTACCACAGTGCTTGCCAAAACTTTATTGGAGGCTTGATCATTTTTTTGGAACTGTTATAACTGTGCATGTAAATCATGCGAAGATGAGACCCTGGCTGGGAAAAGCTTACACAACTCCTGCCAACAGAATTGTGGGTGGCTTCATATTAACTGGCTCAGGAAGACCACAAACTTCAAATATTTCTATTTCTAAACCCTTGTCAAGGTGACCTAGTCCAGGTGGAAGCCTAAAAGGGAGTTTAACTATTGCATACTGAACTTTAACAATGTTTTAATCCTGACTTTCTGCATTTAAAGACCAGACAAACAAACAAGAAATTCAAAAAAGCCAAAAAAATGTTGTAAAAGTTTTGAGTGTGACAGACTTGTAGTAGAGCCTGTTGTTGCACAGAAAGTGGAAGTTCATCACCCCTGGATATTTTTGCCACTCTATGTTCACTGGATTAACTGGAAGATTGTTGGACTATTTTCAATCTGAATTGGGCATCACACCATTGACAAAGTATGTAAGCATTAATTTCCTTACCTACAAGTTGAAGACCAGTCTCAGCCCATCAGAAGATGTGGCTATTGAATGCAGGGTTCTTAGCCTGTAGTCACTGGACATACTCAGTTCATGTGAGAATTGAGAATTTGGGTTTTCCAATGGAGGCCATAAATATTAAAAGAGAAGAGAGGATATTTAAATATTCCCTGTGATATTTAAACAATATCTAGAAGTGTGGGAATCCTTTGAGCAGTGCTTGTAGAGCTGAGAGAGATAAAATTACTGCAAACATGAATTTTTGCCTTATAGGTGGACTCAGTATGAATCAACTGAACAGTCTGTTCTCTCCTGTGAAAATTTTATTTTGATGTAGAAATATTAAATGGAAATATATCTTTCCAAAGTAGCACTCAATGACCTTATTGAGCCTGCAGAAGAGAAGGCTTCAGGGAGACATTAGGGCACCTTCCAGTACCTAAAGTGGCTATAAGAGAGCTGGAGAGGGACTTTGGACAAGGACATGGAGTGTCAGGACAAGGAGGAATGGCTTTGAATTGAAAGAGGGTAGAATTAGTTTAGATACAAGGAAGAACTGGATGATCTTTAAGGTCCCAACCCAGACCATTGTGTGATTCTGTGATCCTTACAGCTCAGAGCTGAAATGCTCATTGCTATGCCAGTCCACAGTGCTCTTTCCATGAAGTGAGAGTCCAGTGACTGCTGTTTCCTCCCTGTCTCTTCTACTGACTTGTTCTGGGTCTGTAGACAAGTTGCTTTACATTTTCCTGTTTGTGTTTACCCTTGGCTTGAGCTAAATGTTATCTGTATAGAGTTTATTTTCTGTCATATAAGTCATTCTCATGGCCTTATGCCATGTGTGCTATAATAGTGGCTGTTTCTGTTTTTTCTCTGGAGGTTGCTAAATACAGTTATGATGACATTACAAGTAAAAATGGGGAAAAATCTGAAGGGGAAGTCTTAGTGGAGAAGCTAGTGCTACTTTTAAACCTCCCTTTCTTTCCAGTGTTTCAAACTGTCAATGGAAAAGAGTTGATTAGATATCAAATTTCATGACCAATAATAGTGTGTCCTTTGAATGACAGCTTCTCTAGGGAAGAAAGCCACTATCTAGAGGTGATAGCATTACTGAGAATACAATTTATGCTGTAACTGTATTCTATGTAAGCTCATTCTCAAATACACTGTCAGATAAAGGAAGTATATCTAGGAGAGAATCTAGGACCTTTCTCTTAGCTTTATTGGAAACTTAAGAAGCCAACAAGTGATATTCCATACAATAGACAAGTGCTTTGTGCATTGTTTTATCTCAAGACCTGCAAGACTGCCAAGCCAGCAGAATATAGGAAATTCACTGATGTAAGCCTTGTTTTAGCCAGGTCTGAGATGGTGCCAGAAAGAACACCTACAGCAAGAGTAAGTGACTCTTGACAGGTTTTACATCCCGTATTTTACAAATTATCTGTGTTGGATCTCATTGATGCATGGCATTTTTGCATAGGCTTTAGTTAATTCAGTCCATAGAGCTGCAGATTTGGATGTCTATCAGTTCCCCCCACGCACATCCGTTTTCAGAGAGTCTAATTTCAGAGGAACCAGTTTCATAGTGACAAAGGGCATCTAAGAGCTTAGCTCCAGCTTTCCAAGAGCACATTTACAGTAGCAGTAAATGGTGCTAGTGTGGATCTCTGCTGTTAGTCACTGTAAAAGGTTGTTGGAAGACAATCCTGGCCTCAAGGGACTTACAGTGCAGACAAGGCTGAGAAGCAGCAAAGAGGGATTATCTCCTACTTACAGGGGAAGAACAGAAGCACAGAGACTTTAAATTACTTGCCCAAGGTAATTGAGCTGGACCATGTGATGAAACCAGGTCTTCCCTTTCCTCCCACTCAGCACTTTTTTTCCTGAGATGTTAAAATCACACTGGATTTCAATCATAGGAGACAAAATGGAAAGTTCAGTAGCACAGCTTAAATAAATAATTCTCCATCCCTCTCAGGTTTGTGATTTCTTTGGAGTTACCCAGATGCCTTTAGAGACAGCTGTGCCTGTTATAGAAAAGGTACCTGAAAGAAAGTTTGTAAAGCACTGTTAGAGGTGTCATCACAGAGTGTCTCAGAAGGGTCACCACTCACTTTCTTTGGTGTTTCCATAGGTGACAACTGGTGGAAGAGCAACTTACTATGTGTCATACAGACGGGAGCCTTTTGCACAGATCAAATTACCCAAATACTCCCTTCCTAAGGTGAGTCCACCATTTGGGAACATAGACATGTAATACCTTGGGAAGCTAAACATGTGAAGTTCTATAAATTGAAGTGCTGGGTCCTTCACTTGGATCACAACAACCACACACACTGCTACAGGCTGGGGACAGAGTGGTTAGAAAGTGGCTCAGTGGAAAAGGACCTGGGGGTGTTGCTTGGCAGCAGCTGAACATGAGCCAGCAACTCCTGAAGTGGCTAAGAAGGCAAATAGCATCTTCATATCAAAAATAGTGTTGCCACCAGGACTAGGAAAATGACCTGTTATAATACAGATTTGTTGGTGGCCCTGATTTAGAATTGGTGCATGCTATAAAATCAGGGGTACTTCTGTAATTTAAAAATCAGAAGTACTTTAAGGCTAGGTGTCATGAAAAAGTCTTTGAGCCATGTAAAAGAGGATTGTTTATGCTGCCCTTAGTTACTAGAATATTTTTGCTGTACAGTAATAACTATCTGTCATGTGCAGATTAATGAACTCTGCTGGAGTTGTATGTATGCGAGCTTGGCACCAGGGTAATGCAATATTTCCACTGCAACTGGTAAAAACAGACTGAAGTCATTGGGCATTTTGCTTTATTTTCACACTGTTGGAATAGATTGGATACCTCCTTAATCTTTAAGGAATTACAGCTACTGGGCAAGAGCAAACCTCCTGATTTAGTTTTCCTTTGTTGAGGGAAATGGCAAATCTCCCAGTGATTGTACTCACTGGGATAGAATTAGGCCCTCAAATGGTTTTTCTCCCCATCTCATGCTGATAGGATGTGTTAGGTCTATTAGAAATAGTCCCATTTAATCAATCCCAACTTTTCATCTAGATACCTCACACAAAAGATTAAGATGGCTCCTAGTCAGGATGAGGATATTGAGCTGGTGTTCCTCCAGATATTCTTTCCTGAAATCAGGTCACTCCATCCTTTGGGAGACTTCAAGAATTATGATTTCTTGATGCAGAAACAGTAAAAGGAATTAATCAAGGCCTCTTGGCACTCTAGAAAAAGTTTAAATATTTACACATAGATAAATGGAGTCTCATATAACCAGTCATTTTGCTTCTAGCTGAACCTGTGTCAGCTTGTTCAACAGTGGTAGCAAGGATGAAGTGCTTAAATACTCATCACCACCCTGAAAGTAATTTCCATGAACCTGGTTTAAAATAATACCAGGAAAATGCACTTTAAATCTCTTTGATATTAAAACTAAATGGAGAAAACATTGTTAGACTTTTTGGATCTTGGTCAGCAGCAGAAATCAAGCAGTGGTTAGTGAGTGGATTATTTGATAGCCCATATATTGTGGGGTAATTGATCTCAAATAAACACTTAATAGCAAAGTGTGTTTTTAAAAATCACTATCAGCAGCAGCTCAAACTGTTACCTATACCTCACAGTCAAATAAATGTGAAATCCAAGGTTTTTTGAAACCATCCCTTGCCAGTTGGAAGCACAAGCCCATTATTTCAGCATGTGAATGAAAATTATCACTGCTTTTAGCCTGGTGCCATATGATGCTTTGTGACTGTGAAGACTTCAGGCTCCAAGGCTGTGAATCTTCCATGAGTAATAAAACCGACTTACAAATTTATAAATAAAAAATGGAACTGGATGAAATTCTTTGAAGGTACCAAAAATGAAGAAAGAGAAAACCCTTCACCCAGCTGGTGATTATTTAAAAAGTGAAATGCAGAAGAGTCACAGTGTTGGTAATTTATTGGCTTGCTCTAACAGAAAGTTGTTAAACATACCTATAATTCATGCTCCATCTCCATTCTTTCATAATTCATGGTAATTACTACATGTCCCGAAGGGCAAAGAAATACAGAGATCCTCAGTAACAGGCCTTTTGTCTTCTTTTAACAGGACATGCATATTATCAGCACAGATGAGAATCAGGTGTTTGCAGCTGTTCAGGAGTGGAACCAGAATGACACCTATAACCTGTACATCTCGGACACCCGCGGGGTCTACTTCACCCTGGCCTTGGAAAATGTGAAAAGCAGCCGAGGACTGGAGGGGAATATTGTCATTGACCTTTATGAGGTATGTAGTAAAGGTCACCCTACAAAGAGCAGCAATGGCCTGCTAGTTTAAGCAAGTGTAAATCTCTTACCAACCTCCCAGGATTTTCATTTATATTAGGGTCAGCCCTGAGGTATTTCCTGGATTTGATGCTGAGTTGACTCAGGTGGGAATAGATGCAGTTATTCTGCTATAGGTGCAACAACTGTTTGGGTTCAAGTCAAGGACTGGTTAGATATGTGTCATTTCCAAAAGGGAAGATCATATCCTTCTCATCATAGTATGGATATCCATAGAAAGACTAAACATACTGTTTTTTTCCCCTTGGGCATCTAGAGACACCTGCTCACAGGCAGGGAATCTGGACTGCACCCTCATTAGCTCTGAACAGTTTGTGAACTATAAACAAAAATCTGTAGGTGCCACTTGCCCAGAGATGACAGATGGATAACTTCTACCCCAAACCATCTTCCATTCTCATGCTTCTTCCAAGCCTGTCATCCTTGGCCAGCAGCAGTGCATTCAGAGCAGTTCCAGTTCATGGTTTCTTCAGAGCATTGTGGTTTTTGTGTGTTATTATTTGTTGGATGGAAGATCTGCTGAGATGCAGGGCTCAGTGCTTTGCCAGCATCAAACAACTAATCAGCATTATTAATAGAAATGGGTGCAGGCTGATTACTACTATTACACAGAGAAATATTCTTGCAGCTGCATGCAGAGGTTACAACTATACATTTTTTTTTTTTATTTCAGTCAGAATAAAGCTCATTTAATAACATAATCAATTTGTTTATAAAAATCCAGGTAGTTTAAGTCAATGAGAAAAAAAATCACAAATAACATATTGATTAGTATGAAGGACAGGATTTATGTTTTTTCTTCACCTGGTTAAATATATTTTCCTGCCTCTGAAAAAGTATATTTCTTTGTTATGATGAACCAGCTAAAATGAACATGCATTGTCTCACATTCATGGGCAAACCTGTGTACTCCCCAGTGGTGTATCATAGACTTTTCACTGTTAAATGCTAATAAATTTTTACAGAGTCATTTAAAGAGTAGTATCACTCTAGGGGCTTCAGAGTAGAAGGATTTGCATCCTGACAGTTGCCAGGAAGTTGCAGATTTGCAGAAAATTTCTTCTTCCTGTCTCACTTTCACAGCTGTGAAACAAGACCAGACTCAACACGAAATTTTCTTGGGGATGTTTTGACAGGCCCATATTTTGCTGGAATGGGTTCTGCTGACAAAAGTCAAAACATTTGAAACAACTGGCTTGATTTGTCAGAATTTGGATGTGGAAAGAAAGCGAAGAAATCAAGTTTGCAAAACATCAGTGTCACAGCATGTTCAGAATTCCTATCTTTTATATTGATTTTTTTTTCCTGGTACACAAAAGGACCCCACACTGCTTCTGATGTGATCTTCTGTCTCCCCTGTTTTGGCAGTTTGTGGAGGCAGTGGGGCTGACCCCATCCTCAAGTTCACAGAGCTCAAGTGTGAAGGTGCAGCCTGCACCTTCAAGCCCATCATTAGCCTCTCTGCAAGAACTCAATGAAATCCAAAAGTGGGCTGTTTCCTAGGGATTTGCTCTGTGACCATCCTTGTCTTTTTCTTCCAAAGAGAGAAACCACACAAGACCTTTCAGCTTTGCAAGATATACCTTTAGTGCCATTTGGTGTTCTAAGATTGGATTTAGATGCCTTCATTGCTTTTACAGAGACCTTCCACTCCCGAGAGTGCTCAGCTGGACATTGCTTTTGCTCTGTTCTTCCAATGTATTTTTTTCACCTCTCTCCCTTTTTCCTAGGTAGCAGGGATCAAAGGCATATTCCTGGCTAACAGGAAGGTGGATGACCAGATCAAGACTTTCATTACCTACAACAAGGGCAGAGACTGGCGTTTGCTACAGGCACCGGACACTGATCTTAGAGGGGATCCTGTACTTTGCCAGCTGGTGAGTGGCTGCTGATCTTTTCCAAGGCATCACTGACTCCTTCAGAGCTTCTTATTGTGGCCACTAGGTGAACAAAACTCTCCCTGTGTTTTTTCTCTTGACTTTCTGTGGTTAAATGAATTCAGTAAATTTCTATATCTATAGTTTCGTAGGTTTTAAGGGAAAATTTTGACCATCTTTCTTGAAGTATTTAATAGAATTCAAGGCAGAATAAGAAAGTTGCTGGGGAAAGTGCTCTAAGTCAGATTGTTGTTAAAACAAGGGCAGATATGCTTGTAGTGCAGAGTTCCTGCTTACCCATCAAAGGAACATATGAGCTATGTGTGTTAAAAGCAGAGGGATCAGAGCATCTATGTGCAGTCACCAAGGGTTCCTCTGATATTTAATTTGATGAATATTAAAGCTTCTGCTTCTTGTTTGTTTTCTGCCAACAGCCCTTTTGCTCATTGCACTTGCGCCTGCAGCTCTCGGAGAATCCATATACTTCAGGGAGCATTTCCAGCAAAGACACAGCTCCTGGGCTGCTGGTGGCCACAGGTAAGAACATAAATGCTTCTCACTGCCCACCCATACCTCCCTGGGAGCCTGAGAGTGTATGAGGTATTTCCCATTGGTGTAAAACCTTTCAGCTCTGTTTCAGCAAATACTGAGCTAATTCACATTGACACCCATTTGCTTTGGGCTAGGAGAAGGCATACTGCTCCAAGTTCAAAAAAGATGTCAGGTGTTTGTTGCTCTACAATAACCCACTTGCAGATGTAAGCCCACACTTGCAAGGTACCTTTACCCAGTGGCATTACTAAGTCCTCTCATGTTGTTACAGCCACTGAGGGACATGTCTACCTGTTTGCTGCAGGTACCATGAAGGAGAATAGTACCCAAGGGTTACACTCCTGGGAGGTGTCAATATGTCCCACCTTTTGAGCAGCAAGCACAGAGCTGTCACAAAGTCTGTCAGGTGAAGCCTGGGCTTCCTGGGTGCCTGTCTTGTGCATGGCTCCTGCTTTTAACTCTGTACTGCTGCAAGACTAGCAGCATTTAATCAACACTGCATGGGCCAGTGGTGTTGTGGGCTGTTCTGCAAAACAGTGCTTTGGCAGGTGGTGTTGTTTAAATGACAGCCTGCTACAATACTTCATGGTGGCAGCAGCTGAGCCACTGTAATTAATCCACAGGATGGATGGGGCTACCAGCAGTCACCCTCAGCTCTGTGGGAGCTGCTGGGCTGAGAAAGTGCTTCCTGAATGGCTGGTGCTCTTAAAAGCTGGCCTCTGAGCCATGGAGGCTGTTCTGTCTTTTCAAATGGAGGGTCTTACCTACACTCAAATATGTCTGAATAGCTTAACTGTTCTTTCTAAGGCTCAGTTTATCTCCTTGGTTCTCTTCAGCGTAGCAGTGGCCTGCAAGTGTGGGCAGTTAGCATATTGTCTGCATGAATTTACCCATTTTCATTCTCATATCCTTCTGTGCTTCAGTGTGTTTGCCAGACTAAGGCAGAACCTGAGACGGGTTCCCTTCATGACATTTATATCTCAACAAGGGAGATGCCGTGTGATTTCCAGTTCACTGATCCAGGCCAAATGAAGTGAGATAATTTGGTTCAAACCTCCAGATATCCCCATGCATAGCCAAGTGGAGTCATCACTCCTGGCAGGTTGCACTTGCTAGATGGATGCTTAGGAACAAGCCCTACTCATGATGCTGTAATTACAAAAGCTTTTTTTTTTTTTTTAACCTTTTAGGAAGTAAATAGAGGCAGCAGGACTGTGAGATTCTAGGCATTGATCTAAATTGTTAGTAAATTAGGTTCTTTTCAAACTGCCAGTGCATGGGATGAATGCTTTCCCAGTTTAACAATTAACCTTTAAAAGGCAGAATATAATTTCTGCCTTACTGCTTTGTAGATGAAAAAACCTTACCTGTTGGGAATATACACATCTGTTTCCACTAACCAGTTTCACAACAGTAGGAGCATCTCACCATGTTGCTGAATGCATTCAAGGATAATCTTTGCAATTTTTTCTCACAAATGTTGGCTGCTCAAACACTTCATTTACAGTGGGACATTTCCAGCAATGATTGGATACTTGGACACTTGGTACAGGACACTTGGTACAGGACACTTGGTACATTTTACAGATGCTAAATCCTCTTGACTTGTTTGGGAGTTACATTTTGTAAGGTTTAAATGCATGCAGGTGAAATTGGAGGAAGAGAATTAAGGAAATAATGGAACAGCTTTGCACAGAAAGACAGAAAAAAGTGATAACAACTAAATTCTTGCCTTTTTACTCCCTTTCCTCCATCTGTAAATCCCTGTTTGAAAATTTGGAGTTTACATTTTGGTATTTAAAATATGATACAAAACTTACACTGCTACCTTTAAGTCAGTGTCCAATTCTTGAGGGCTTCCACTCATTATAAGATAGTGTGCTAAGAAGGTCTTTGAACTGAAACAGTAGATTGATCCTCTTGAACCTGGATGTCCCTTGAGGCTGACCTTCAGTATGGTTGCCCACATCAGGTTTTCCTTACAGCCTCACCTAAAAAAGTTGGTGACTCTTGATGGTATCAGGGAAGAAAATTAGGTAGATGGACAGTATGACATTTCCTATATCCTGAGCACTGATGAAAACACCCTTCTTGAACTGCTCTGCCTCCTGGAACCAGAACTTTTTTGAAATAGCATTGACACAATAATGTGGTGAGTTGAATTCTGTGATGGTAACAGGAGAGTGTCAATCTATTTTAATTTCTAATTTTCAAGCATTAAATGTCAGAAATTTAATTAGCATTTTCATTAGCGTGTTCATCCACAGAAGAATGTCTGACACTTATATTGCAGGCAATATTGGCTCTGAACTTTCCTACACGGATGTTGGCGTGTTCATCTCTTCTGATGGTGGCAATTCCTGGAGACAGGTATGTTTTGTGCAGCAAAAGAAAGCACAGAGCCTTTTGCTATTCTTCTGACTCTTCACTTCCCAGCAGAGTGGAGCACTCATGCAGTACTCCTTTGCTTGCAGATCTTTGAGGAGGAATACAACGTTTGGTTTCTGGACTGGGGAGGGGCACTAGTGGCCATGAAACACACGTCAGTGCCCATCCGGCACATGTGGTAAGGAAACTTGTTACTTTGATAGGGTGCCAGTCTCTATAAAATGAACAGATGAAGCCATTCTTAACTATGTTTTACCACCATTTTGGTTTTATTGGTGAATATAATAATTATTGCACCATTTTATAAATATAATGCCTCCATACATAATCACCTATGTGTATGAAATTACTCTTTGCACTGATAATGTACTATGAGCCTCCAGGTGGGGCTTCTTTCCTACAGACAGACATATACTAAATCATCCTTTGGGCTTCAGGTATTTCTGAGAGGATGTGTTTCTCGTTTCTACATTTTGTTTACAGAATTTAACATTAATCTGGTAAGATAGATAAAGGGAGGGAGAGGAGAGGGCAGTAGTTGTAGATAAGGACAACCGAGATATGTTGCTAACCCCTCTAGTATTTTACTATCAATTTCCAGAGATACTGTGGTGGCGACTGATTAGAGTTGGAGGTGAAATAGGGCAAAATGATTTCTCAGCTGAAGACAATGTTTTGCTATAAATGGGTTGTAACAGCCTAAGCACTAAAGATACTGCTCAAAATTATCCTCTTCTTAGCTGTTGCCCCTCTGACTCCTGCCCCAGTTACACATTCTGAAATTCATAACTAACACTGTTTACAGAAAATGGCTGTGTTAGTACCACCTGCAATGGACTGACCCACCCAGCTTCTAATGTTGTTTAGAAGTGAATTAGTTAGAAATAGATTTCAGAAACAAGATGTGTTCCTATGTACAATACTGCATTGTCTCTCAGAGTGATGGTGCTAAGCACATGTCTATTACTTTGCATGCAGAACAGAAAATGTGGTCTTCAGTGAAATAGAAAGACAATGCAATGGTGTTTGGCAGCAGTGATGAGGTGTTAAGGTTTCCTCTACCTGAGTCATTATTGTACAAAATCCTCCAGTGAAATTCCAGTCATTCCAAATCTGGGCACCTCAAGACAGGTTGACTTCACCCATTTACGAGCTCATGTTCTGGAGATGCACTTTGAAAACATTAACAGCTACTTTTTCAATAGTAAAAGATTCTGGACTTTATATTTCTGATCTGACAGATAACTCTGGGATGACTGCAGCATAGATTTCTATAAAAATTTGAATAGATTGCATTTGAGCCCATTTCTTTGCCACCTGAAGCAAAGAAATGACTGCTTTAGTCACGGTGTGACAGTGGACTGTTAACCACGGGATGTATTGGCTCCATCACTGGACATACAGAGGACAGCAGTAACAGAGCAGACTCCTAATGATGAGCTGCAGTCTCCAGTCTGTGGTGTGAATGTGCTGGGGTGTGACTGGAAGCCTCTGATGGTAACTCAGTTCTCATGGCTATAATGAAAGTGCTCTCAGGAAAGAGGTCATCAGGACCATGTCCCAGTCTTTAGACCAAAGCAAGAATGAGTCAAGGAAGGAGAAGTTTGTGCTAGCCAAGGGTGGGTGTCACTAGCAGTGGGTGCATCAGACTGCAGCAAGTTGAGCTCTGGAAGAGTGAAAGGTGAGCCCCTTATGGAAAAAGCTGGAAGTCATGTATTAACCATTTGTTACTGCATTATTCAAGCCAGGTGTAGCTGTTTTAATAGTGTCTTCAATTGTGGAGGCTATTTAGACATAAAAAGCACGTTACTACAAGTGCCTGTACTAGCATACTGGGAAAGAATTGGTCACAGGTTGACTTTTCATAGGAGCCGACAGCTCAGTTCACCTTTGTTTGCAGAGGTTCATTTCAGATGCTCTCCTTTTACAATGAAATGGTGTGTGCAGTTCCCACCCACTCTATTAAATGAGTAGTGATTTAGATTTGTTATCAATAAGATCCAACAGGTTTCCTTCAAAATGGTACCCTTAGGGGCTTTGGAATTTGCTTCATATTGCTTCAGTAGGCACCTGTTTTATGGGCAGGAGTGGAATAGATTAAAGGGTACATGTAAATCTATTAGTTCTCAGGCTGAGACATTGTACAATAAGTTTCATGCTGGAGAAAAGAGGGGCAGATAATTGAAAAGCTGAGAGAACTTTAGCTAGGCTAATGAAGCATGCTGTTCCCCAGAAGTTGAAACGCTATTTGGAGAGATAAGCAAGCAAGCAGAACGCATACAAATGCACAGGTGTATGGGAAGACACATACATTTAAATAAATAGATTTAGGGCAGATAATCTTTCTGTGTGCTGTTGTGCTCCCAGAGTTCTGTTTTAAATGTAAATTTAACTTCCTATTCTTGCATTCTGAGCTGAAGGTGTTGCTAAGTGACATGAGGGGCAGAGAGTTAGGGAATGGTGACTGCCAGTCTTGGCGTTCCACACCACAGGTCTGAAGTTGGTGTAACCCGTGGCTTATAATACACACTACAGTGGTCTCCTGGTCCTTTGGTGGTGTATCAGGGGTTGTCCCACCTACTTGGAGCAGGGGGGATTCAGTGACCACCAAGAGCCTCCCAGACAGATCCAGCTGCTCAGATGCCTGTGTGTGCACACACACATTAAACACTCCTCATTCCCACAAATAAGCCAAATTTCCCTTTAAGTACTCAGAGGGCTAGAGAGATTGTAGCTAATGCCATATGGCATTGATACATGGATGGGTCAAAATGTCCTGTGGTGGTGAAAGCAATTTTCATGCATTCAGGCCAGGGTTGCTTATGCTCTGAGTGGTGCTCATGCCAGGTGCTATTCCAGACCCAGAAACAGGTCTTGGCAAAAATTCCTCATCTCTTGAGGTCTGATGTACAGCTGCATAAAGTATATCCATGTCCTTATTGAAGTGTTTTTGCTTTCTAAAGCTTTGATCTTTCAAAATATATCAAGACCATGAATTTAGTGGGCTGGGAAGTGGCAAAGATTGGTGCTTGTCTGTAAATTCAGCTGCTGGAGCTTGTAGACCTTAGCCAACATTTAATTGCTGCATTTGCTCTAGAGTAAGTCTTTTTATGTGTATAAATGTTGTCTGCTTCTATCCCAGGGTGAGTTTTGATGAGGGAAGATCCTGGACTAAATACAGTTTCACATCAACACCACTTTTTGTGGATGGATCCCTTGTAGACCCTGGCATAGAGACCCAGATAATGACGTAAGTATAGCAGCTCCAATTTTAAATTAAAAACTTCCCTTTCCAGGAAAGAAAGGTGATGGCAGAAGGGGTGCATGGAGATCCCCCAGTTCATGGTAACCTCATGATGTGCAGTGCAGCGTTGTGTAGCTGCACATGTAGTGTTTCATGAAGACATGGTGCTGTTTTGTTGGTTTTGCTGGTGGCCACATGCCTGGCTGGTATGTTCTTGCATCATGTGGCAAATAGATGATGGAGCCAAGCTCTTTCCAGCAGTGATGGGGGCAAGGAAAGCTGGTCCCAAGCTGTAGCTTGGGAGTTCACATAGAATAGTAGGTAGATCTACTTCTCTGGAGAGTGGTGTACCCTTGGTTAGGTTGCATCTAGTGACAACCAGAGGTCCTTTCTCATAATTACTGCTGAGATCGCATTCCTTGGATCTGAAGGCCAAGGGACTGCAGTGCTCTTCAGAAGTCAGAGATCTGTATGATTGTACCTCATGCCAGTTCTCTCCTTGCTCCAGTTGTGCAACATGACTGTCTTTTGAGATTTCTGGTGGGTGTGAATATCCCTCAGACTTGTTGCTTGCATTGTGGGCTGTACATCCAGTTTTAGCTCAAAAGTGTGTATATGCAAAGCTGAGCTCAGAATAACCTTCCTGTTCTGGGGTGTAGTATGCTATGGCTCACCCATCCCATGGAAGCAAGAGCCTGGGCTGGCACTGATGGTGCTGGGACCTTCCTCCTCCCAGTGGGTAAGGCTGATGGAACTACTGGAGTGATGCTGGCCCAAGAACAGGACAGGATTTGAGTTTAACAACCAGGAAAGGGAAGTTTTAGTTCAAAGGCATGTTTAAGTAGTCATCTGACCTCTTGCACAAAGCAGATCAGAGCACTGTGCTCTGGGGTTCTGAACAAAGCAAGGACAGGATGCACTGCCTTCATTGGTTTCAGAAATGTGTTCTTACCTGTGTGTCTTTGAACTGGCTGAAACAGCTTTCTGAAAAAACATCAGAAAGCAAGGTGGCTAAGATACCTTAGACTGAGGCACACCTGTGAAGCACACCTGCAGTGGCATGAAGAGATGCCTTTGGTTAATCACTGTTGCACCACTCCAGTTCAGGGGCAGGACACTGATAAATTTCATCTTGCAGTCAGTCTGCTTCTCTTCATCTTCATTTGAAGTTCCTGCACATTTTCACTGCTTGCAAGAGAGAAGAGATTCAGGTCAAGTTTATTTTCTTCTAGGCTTCAGTCCATCTGCATACTTATATGGCATAAACACGTAGGTGGAGCTCATTGCTGGTGTCACAGGTAGTGAGAAACCGAGTGTCATCAGTTTCTGAGGAAGTTTGAACAGAATAATAGATGTGTGTCTTAGACATTTCTGCTAATTATTTGAATGTATTCCAACTATGTTGCATGACTTGTGTTGTTATGCCTTTCAAAACCAGCTCTAAGTCAGCTTTACACAAACAGAAGTGACCATGTGCCTATACTTGAAGTTGTGCTCAGCTTCAAGAGAGGAGCTGGGGGAAAATAATATTTTACTCTTCTATCAAATGGTCATTTGAATGGGCTTCTGTGCCATCTATGCCATGGCAGAAGAAATGTTTGGTGCTGTAGCCTTGGAAGGCTCAGGAAAGTGTAGCTGACTCCTGTATAGCACATCCATATCCTGTGATAAACTGTCTTAGGAAGGACAGGCTAAGTAATTATTGTTATGCTTTACACAGCATCACTCCTGTGCTTTATTCCCAAACAGTGCTGCAGCAAAACAAGGCAGCCTCTGTGTCTGTCACAGACAGCTACTGAGATTTTATCAGAGCAGAGGTGGTGTCAGTTCTGGTGGCATTGCTCTCTTTTCCTTTATTCCAAAACAATGCCTCAATGCCTTGGCTTTGTCTCTTTCTTTTTTTTTTTTTTTTTTTTTTTTTTTTTCAAAAAAGCAAGGTCCTGGTTTTGTAGAAGAATATATCTGTACATCTCTTGCCTTGCTATCTGCAATCATTGCCCTGTTTTTGCAAAGAGCAAAACTGAACAGCATATGATATACCTGTGCCTTTTCAGAAGACTGCTGTGAGCATCCTCTTGGGAAAACACATATGCCAATTCCCAGCTAAAGATTAGAACCTGTAATTCTCTTAATTCTGTGCATTTTTTCTGCAAATGCAATGATAACGTGTAACTTTTGTGTTTAATATGGTGTTTTTCTGTGAAATTCTTTGTGCAATATGTGCCACTTTCCTGCTGCACACATGTGCAGACATATGCACACATGTTCAGAGAGAGACCTGAACTCACATAAATCTGCATGTCAGCACCTTCATTGAAATCAGTGGAGCTAATCAGTTGCAACTAGCTGTGGATTTAGGCCATTTACTTTATAAATTAATGCATTTTGAGATGAAAAGTGCATTATAAATCTAAGATTATGGTTCTTTATCTCTGTAGTCTTCTGGTGGAGAATGTAGGAAGTGAGTTATCTTCCTGAATATTGTGTATTGGGTGTGTTGAGAACTTTTTCTTTTGAAATTTTGCAGGCATATTACCATTATTATTGCCATTGCTATTGTTATTGTTATTGTCTTTATTATTACTGTCATCATTAGCAATTTTAAGAACCATTCTTAATAGTCTGTAAAAGCCATACAAAGAAATTTCACATGACACTTGCAATGATTGTTTAGAGAAACTTCTATCCACAGTATGAAAGGAACTGAGGAGGAAAGAGCCCATTTATAAAGCTGTATGCAAACCATTTCTATACAGAACACTTAGGTGTTTCTCCCAATGCAAATTTTAGTGAGTTCATCTATAAGGGCAGTGTAGGATAATGTTGAGCTTATGTAAGCTTTGAGAAGAAATCAATGTATTTCTATTGTTACTTGCCACCCCCTGAACAAAGATTACACATGGTGGTTTGGAGGTACATAGAATTTGTGTTTGTGGGTAGAAACCCCAATGATTTCAAGAAGTTGATGAGAGGGATCAAGGCTGTGGTCATATTTATGTGCTGCCAAACTGGGTAGGTTATTTGCTTTTAAAAGTTTGTCTCTCATCCTGGAAAATCCTGTTATAGTTCATCTAGTGGTCTCAGCTGATTACTGTTAGAAAAGATTTCTTCCATAGATTTGCATCAAAGTGGTCTGTGGTCTCCCATTTAAAAAAATATTATTGTGGGGAGAATGTGTACACATAGTCATTATACTCAAGCTATTATAAAAATATTGCATTATTAACAATATTTTCATAATACTATTTTATTAAAATCAATATATCAGTAGAATGACTTTCCCAACCTTCATTTCATGCCACATGCTGTGAGAGGCTTTCTGGGCTGTTGAAAAGAGCAACCCTTTTAGCACACAATTTTGTAACACTTCATAGCTATTAAGTGAGCTTTTTCCATATCTGTCTTTATTGTATGAGTATCCTAGGCTTTTTGAATCCTCTGTGCTTTGTGCTGTGTATGCTTGTCCTAAACAGTCCTAAAAATCTTGTCAGTATGGTAACATCAGTAATTTGCTTCATGAAGGGGCTTTATATGATTCTGAATATCTAAGAGTACTCTGAATTGGGAGCTGCTTTTAGTGGGGTGTTTGACAAGATGTCTTGCAGAGGTCTGTTCCAACCTAAATTATTCCATAATTTTGTAATTTTGTATGGCTATAATGCTGCAAGGATTATTTGTTTACAAGCTGGGGGGGCTCAGTTAAGATCATAGTTTTGTGATGCACAGGGAAGTATCATGAGATTATGTGAGCTGGTCTGCCTCGAACTGCTGCCTAACCAAAGTAAAGCCACAGTCCTTCCTCCAGCCCTGGCTGATCATCTTCTGCAGTTCCTTTTGTTGTTGCTTTGACACTTTCTCATCTGACAAGAGAGTCAGTTCAGCTCCTTTAGCACAGAGCTTTGTACCAAAGCACATTGTGGTGCTTGGTGCAGGTGTGGGGAAAAAGGCTGTGGGACACACAGAGTCCTCCAGGAAAATAAATGCATAAGGGTGGTGGCTTAGACATTTCTCAGATGAATACCTAGGATGCACTAGCCTTTTTGAAATCTACAGGTTTCTAGGTTCTGTGCTGTACCCTCACTGTTAACTAGTATATCTTTTAATGATGTCATGTTCTGATGGGTCAGATCTTTATTTTCTGGATTGACAAGCCATAGTGCAGCATGTTACTTATCTGAGGTTGTCCAACAGAGGAAAGGAATCACACTTTATTTCCCTTCTAGTCAGTTGTGATTTATCCAAACTAGTTTGTACTGTTCAAATCAGAGACAAGATGTTGTCATGGGTCCAGAGAAGGGCTTTATGTTGTTCCAGCTCTGACTCATACTTATTACCCCTGCCACTTCATCTCCTGTGCTAAGCATCTCTCCAAACCTATATTAAGAGGAACAATCTTTTTGCTTCACAGCCCTGCATCATTTTAGTAGACTCATTATGTGTGTGTGTGTGCAGACACTCATTTACAGATGGGGATCATTAAGTTTCTCTGTACTGATAAATAAATATTTATGGAGACACACCCACGTGTGTATATAAATTTCTATGTAGTTCTATGCATGTGAACTTAATGATCTCTATATATGTGTGTATGCATAATTGAGCATTAATATTTTCAGTGAGCTGAAAGTTGGTCTGTCAACACTGCTGTGACTGCTGCCCTTGGCTATGTGTGTTAGAAAATGTTCCTGGTTGTAAATGAATATGGTATGAGTCCTGACCCTTTGCAACACCTTCTTGTTTATGTGGCCATGAAGCTTTACCAGAGATGAAGTGGGAATAATTCTTTCTTTCCAAGAGACCCATAAAATTACTGGCAATCCATCACTGGGTGGCAGAAGAGTGAGAAAGAATGAATAAGTAATTGAGAGAGATGTTGGAAAAATTGAGATGAGTGCCAGGGGAGGTTTGAGGTGAGAAAGGAAGTATTAAGAGCACAGGCCATACTGTGTCAGACCAGACGTCCCTCTATTTCAGATCCGTGTTCCAACAGTGGCAAGTACAGGATG